CCCCCTCCGGCTCCTGGGCGTCCTGTGGGATTGTCCCCTAGCTCAGCGTAAGGCCGCCACAAGGTCAGAGACGGTAAAGTGCAGGTGTCACCATCCGGCCGAGTGTCCTCTGACCCCCCGCCACACACACACACAGACAGACACATTTCCCAGTTCTCAGTGCCCTGGTGTCACTGTCCGGCCGAGCCCCACCCCGAGCCCTCCCCCACAGACACATTTCCCAGCTCTCAGTGCCCTGGTGTCACCGTCCGGCCAAGCCCCGTCTGACACTCCCCCCTCTTTCCCCCGACACAATTCCCAGCTCTCAGTGCAGGGTCTGAGCTCTCTCCCTCCCCTGCAGGGATTCACACTGATCAGGTTCACGTGGGTTGTGCGCTGAGCGACCAGGCCCCCGTGGACCCGAGGTTCCAGTACGCCTACGATGGGGGGGACTTCATCAGCTTTGACAACCAGACCGGGACGTGGGTCGCGGCTGTTCAGCCGGCTGTCCTCCAGAAGCAGCTCTGGGAGATGGACAAGTTTTGGACTCAGTATGTCCGGTGGTACCTGCAGCACGAGTGCCTGGAGACCCTGCAGAGCCTGGTGCATCGGGGGAGAGAGGTCCTGGAGCAGCAGGGTGAGTGAGCAGCGGGTCCCCACACTGGTTATCAATAAGCTGAAAAAAGAAACCACAAAGCCCCCTTCACTGCATTCCAGTTCTCTGGCTCAGTGACGTTATTGACATGAATGGTAACCGTATAGATCATTGGTGCAACCACGGTTATGATTGGCTGGTTATGATTATGCTGTCTGTGTATTTCAAGTACACAACTGACCCATTGAGAGAAGCAAGGCAGGCAGGGACATGCCTATGGACAGAACTCAGGTTTTTCCAGGCCATGTGCTGGGTGGCTTGTAGTTGGAACAAAGAAAGCACAAGCCACATGGCAAAAGGACTAGAAAAGGCAGCAGCAGCATCTCCATTTTCTCTTCAATCCGGCTTCTTACCTCTGGAGGAACTTTGCTACAAACTGAAGCTTTGAACAAAGGACTGTATGTCATTGATTCCATTTAACCAATTCTGGCTCTCATTTATATCTTTTTCCTTTTATGAATAAACCTATAGATTTTAGATTCCAAAGGATTGGCAACAGCGTGATTTGTGGGTAAGATCTGATTTGTATATTGACCTGGGTCTGGGGCTTGGTCCTTTGGGATCGGGAGAACCTTTTTTCTTTTACTGGGGTCTTGGTTTTCATAACCATTTGTCCCCATAACGAGTGGCACAGGTGGTGATACTGGGAAACTGGAGAGTCTAAGGGAATTGCTTGTGTGACTTGTGGTTAGCCAGTGGGGTGAGACCAAAGTCCTCTCTGTTGGGCTGGCTTGGCTTAGGGCTGTAACTGCCTGGCTCTAAGCAATTTGTCCTGATTTGATACTCTCAGTCGTGTCCCACCAGAGGCAGCATCGTTACAGGCTCCCAATCAGCACCTAGGTCCAGTAAAGCGAGAAGTTATTTAAAGACTCTGCTCACTATACAAAATGTTCTTCTGACCCCAAAGGGCCAGCCACGTTACCAGGTCAGTATTAGGTTGGATCTTACCCCAAATCCCACGCTGCCAGCCAGTCCTTTAGTGTCAAAAACTAAAGGTGTATTAGAAAAGAAAAGAAAGTTGTTGAACAGTAAAGCAATCAGATACACACCTAGGACTTCAGAGTCCATATATCAGGTTCTAGCAGTGCTGGCGAGTTTGCTGGCTTGAAAGTCCCCCTGGAACATCCCCAGCTTGGATGGGTCATTCAGTGCTTTGTTCAGCGCTTCAGTTTGTAGAGAAGTGACTCCAGAGGTGAGAAGCGGGACTGAAGACAAAATGGAGATGATGCAGCTGCCTTTTTATATCCCTTGCCATGTGGCTTGTTCTTCCTGTGTCCCAGACACAAGCTCCCAGCACGTGACAGGGAAAAGCCTTAGGGTTGTGTCCATGGGCAGCCCCGACATGTCCCGCTGACTCATACGGTGCAGTCCCTGGTTTTCAATGGGTTCATTGTAGAGCTGATGTCCCTGGGTGGGCCATCTAGCAGGCTTAGTGCTGATGCCAATCTGTCTGGGGGCGTCACCCCGAAACACAGCACAAGTTTAGATATACCAGGTTTTGAAACCATACAAATCTATAACTCACAGT